ATTTATTGTTAATAAAATTCAAATTACGTCTTTGTTTTTGGAAAGCTATATTTTTATTTATTTACAAATTAAATTAATAATATAACTTTAATAATTAATTAAAAATATAGCTTTCCAAAAACAAAAACGTAATTTGGATTTTATTAACAATAAATTTAGAACAGAAATTCATATCTTGTGCCGAAATGCATTTGTCGAAGTCAAACGTTTGGGCTCCAAGATGGCGGACGAGTCAGCTCCCCTTTATCTAGTAGCTCTACTCTCTACGCCGACGATGTCGATCGTATTCGATTGTACATTTTGAGTTGGAGTTTGGAGCAGTATCCCCCCCCCCCCTGCCCATTGATCTTCCAAATTCCAATGGCCGCGTTCAGCAGACACAACTGTTGAGTGAGCAATCAGTATGATTGGTTAATACTTTTAGATCCAGCCAGTCACGTTAAGAAATCATTGAGCGCTCACTCAACAGTTGTGTCTGCTGAACGCGGCCAATGGTTTCAATTCCCACACTTGTTTGGTGTGGCTAGACTGGGCCCGACTGGTACTGGCTACTGGCTAGTGCGGCTCGTCGTCATGGGCTGCGCTGATGAGCGATTTCGTAATCGCGTGTCGTGCGAGCGTGGTGGTGTGCGCCGTGCGGTGGTAAGTGGTAAGCCGGGAGTATCGCCGGGCCCGGAGGCAATTGGAGCTACGCTATCGGCAACGATTCCGCACGGCGACACGCGGCAGGCGTGACGATTGCCCGCGGATGATCTGGTGCTGCGCTCTCGCCAAGGGGATCCCGCGCTTGTCCGAGAACGAGGATCATGTATACCGTGTCGAAGGGACCTAGCAAGATCGTAGCGAAAACACGACGAGGTACTAAATTTGGATCTCGGCGTCCGAGCCTCTTTCCTCTTTTTTTTGCGCCGGGGAGCTCGCTCCAATTGGAATTGTCACTTTTGCAGGGATCAGTCAGAATCTCGAAAGATTGGAGACTCTGCGCGATCTGACGAGGAAGACCGTCACCGAGGACGACCACGAGATCACCCGGTGAGAGCGAGAGAGAGAGAGAGAGAGAAAAAGATGCTCTAACCCCTTTCTCGACACCGCTTTTTTACGCTACTCCCTCTCCTCCACCGCCGCTTTCGACATTATGCAATTCTTTATCGTAATTCATCCCGTAAAATTGCCAGAGCTATACATAACTTGTTGGTGTTGACGCGTGTCGTTGAAAATTATACTGAAAATTATACTTAAACGTTTTCCACGCGGTGCAAATACCCGTTGAAACCGTTTCCTTACGTTTCCACCGAGTGTTGCATAAGATTCCATTTGTGTAATAACGCGTGACGAGAGAGAAAAAAAGCTATTTGCTCGCTATTACCATGTCGACAATGCGGCCTCTACATGTACATACGTTTTACGCTCGCAGTGACGTACCGAAGCCGGTCTTCCATATAAACGGCAAGTCCAAGTTCGTCTCGCAGCGGCACCAGATGCAAGAAGTTATCACGCCGCAGCACGAGGAGCTCATAAAATTCATTTGCGAATGTAGGTAAAGGTTTTACTCGCTAAGTAGATGGAAAATTTTCTGTGCGAAGTAAGAGCGAGGGGCGCCGAGAGCGCGAGGCGCCGCGAGCTTTGCAAAGTATGAGAGAGGCCGAGCGTGGGACTTTATTATTTTTGTTTGTTTATTATTTTTGACAGCATGGAATCAAGTTAACGCGCGGCAAAGAAGCGAATGTTGCGATGGCACAGAATGTGCAGAACTTTGCAGTAAGTAGATATACACGAGCGACAAGCGCCAAAGTTAATTTATGATTGCAGTTCTATCTGGTTTTCTTCCCTTCTTTTCACCTCGTCCACGAGAAAGAGTGTTTCTCCCGAAAATTACGTGCAATTTACAAAAAAAAGAGAGGAGATCATTCTGCCGTCTTTCACAAAAGAATGATCTCTATGCCTCTGTTGTACTGCGATTCACTCGTGCGACGACATACGCATACATATTTGTTAAAAAGTAAAACGCAATTAAACCTTTTGTTCGCTAGGTCCTAAGGATTCTATAGTGTATTACAATGACGGTGAACCAAATGATAATCTTCAAGGTAAGCCGTGACGTTAAGCATTAAAGTCAGATCTACTGTAACGGATCAAGATGCAAACACATTGTTGCAGACTTCAAGCCGTTCGACTTGGAATCGTGGTGGGGCAAACGGTTGTTCAACAACATCACAAAGTCACTCTGAGATATTCGGCAAGCTAAGATAACACTTTTCCAAGAACTTGCACCGCTGTGGAAGTAACGTGGCGGCCCGTGCTATATATGCGGATCAAGCAATATCTCTCGTCTTAAGCATGTGAAATCCGACCAAGTTCGAAAGTTGGGAAGTCGGCAAGACAGTGTTGAATATATCAAGCTGTATGAAATTACCGGCTAAAATATCCGGTACGTGCACAACGTACACGATCTACGGTGAATCGCATCGTACATCAATCGCCGGTATATCAATACACCCAGCGTACATCTCTTGTACGCGCCGCGCGCAATAGTAGCAAATACCGTTAATAATTGAAGTGGTTCAAGACCGATTGTTTATATTGCATTTGTTAATGAGAGTTTCTACAAAACATTGATACCCGTTTATTGTTGCTCGATTATTAGAATTGCTCAATCTCAATAAGGTGCAGAGTATTCAGCGGTTTTGTACGCGAGAGCTTGAGAGTTGCACGCGAGTTTCGCGACAATAGACAATAAGTAGGATAACGTGCGCGATAGGGCCGGCCGCGGGCTTTGTAGGCGCACGTGGGAGAGTCGAGGGCGCGCGGCCCAATACGTACCCAATGCGTATACCAAAATAGGGCTAACATAAGTACGAGCGAAAGACCCAAAGCTGTGCGGTATGAATCCTGCGTGAGGTTGGTGAATTTGTAATATTAGAATATTGTATATATGTACATGTATATGCAACGATCGCGTGAGTGCATGACACAATGTTGCGGGTATTTGTTACGACGATTTGTGTTCGACTTTTACGTAAGCGAGGATTTAGTATAAATTTGTAGACTGATAATATGTAAGGGAATCGTCATGTTGTTACTCGAGTCAGGTCGCGGCTCGCGGCACCGCGGCCGGTGACGCAATCTATTGCGGGGCTCGCTCATCGAATTGTTATATTGTGGCAAGTTAAATTGCGTCTTTCTCGCGTTGCCTACGTATCCGTCGGACTATCCGCAATGAGCCTTCGATTGGCGACAATTTAAGTGCCACAATATTACGCGTCTGACAAAGCGCAGCTCGCGAGAGTAGTCGTAATGTAGCGAAATGAAGTTCAGCCATGTGCAGCTGAATTTTATACGATCATGAATAAATACCTCTTTATACATGCAGCAGTATTTATCTGCACTTGTAATTTTACTTCCATTATTCTCGCGTAACGCAACTTGTACTAATTTGTACTGCAAATTTTAACGATTGCAATTGGAGAGAAGACCACAGTCGTGACGTTTCAATTGTAATCTATTATAAATTTAATACTTGTATCGATACTGCAGTATTTTCACTCAGATACACGTGACGGTCATTTTATTGAACACAATTATATATCAAATATTTTATTTCTATTATTCTCGCGTAACGCAACTTGTACTAATTTGTACTGCAAATTTTAACGATTGCAATTGGAGAGAACACCACAGTCGGGACGTTTCAATTGTAATCTATTATTATAAATTTAATGTATATCGATACTGCAGTATTTTCACTCAAATATTTACACGTGAGGGTCATTTTATTGAACACAATTATATATCAAATAAATATAGCATCTCTAGTTAAGATTGGCGCGATACTTGATGCGTTAAATTCGCAATAATATTATTGCACAGTCATTATTGTCTACTCTTATCTACTGTTTGTTATACTTTCTATAAACGAATGACGCGCGAGCATCGGGCCAATGAAAATCTCGTCGCGAGTCGCCATATTTGTTTCGCAGGGCTTTCTCTCGCGTGCTCGCAAGTTCAGCCCGGCTGACTCGGCTCGACGATAAGAAATCGCTATTCCACCGCAATGCTGATACTTTTGTTTATCGATATACAGAATGCACTCAATTAGTAATCGATTTTCACAGTGATTTCAGTACAGACAGCAGGGAAATAAAATTACGCCTCGGGTTTGTGATGAAAAATGAGGAAACGCCGCAGAACGTGGAGGAGCAAGAGGTTTGTTTGTTCGATATCACGGCCAGTGTATTAAACGAGCAGAAAGGCCGGTGCAGATTGTTATAAAATTGTTTTGTTTTACACAGTGATATCGATTTCGGCCAATTACAAAAAGTACAACGACTGTACGCGTTTCGACACTACGGTTGTCTTCTTCAGCGTGTTAAAATTGAGCCGACTAGGATCCAGGTGCCAATAACAACAAGAAGAGGAAGAAGCGTGTTAAAAGTTTAGTGAGACAAGGTAGAATTTAGGTCGCGTGATAAAACGTCGTGTTGGAAATATGAAATGTACAATTTCTCAACAACTGTCAATTGCCAGATCAGCTATGCGAGCTACGTCGTGCTCAGTTTCGCATGGTTTAGATAGGTCAGCTAATTCCCTTCTAGTTCATTCCGGACAATATGAAGGCCTAAATAAAACATGACGTACAGCAATATGTAAAACTAAGTCAGTGGTTAAAAATTCAGTTTGTCACGACGTTTTATCACGCGACCTGAATCCTACCTCTTGCTAAATTTTTAACACGACGCGGCAGTGCTGATAGGCGTACAGCGTCGTATTTTTTGTAATTAATCGAACTCGATATCGCTGTGTAAAATAAAATTGTTAATTTCACGACAATCCGTGCACCCTTTCTGCCCGTTCAATACGTTCGCCGCGTGATATTGAATGTTTGTTGCTTCTTAAAAACGAGCGTGTCAACTTCTTTTAATTTCGTTTATGTTTGCTTAATTATCAATCGTTGATTTCACTGTAATTGCAGACGGCGCACGAGAACGGTACGTGTACTACAGGACCGATGATACAACCACAGAATGGGCCAGCGTTTCTTACAGTTTTAACATTTGCATGCGAAGCCTTGATAGCGTGTGCCAGACAACTCGATATAATGGACGAAGAATGCGGCGATGGAGATTATGGTACCGTACTTGCGCGTAGTGCCGGTGCCATAAAGTTAGCGATCAAGGTTGTGCAATGAAATATAGGCCGGTATTCATAGTCAGATTTTGTATTCAAGACTAAGATCATCTTCAGATACTCCGTAGCCAATGAAATGTTCCATACAGCGTCTTCAGATAAATTCAAGACGGTCTTGAGTATCACGAGACACGGTAGTGTCTCGCGCCAAGTATAAGCGAAAAGTTTTAAAGTGACAAGCTAAACCACGCGCGCGACACCGACCGCGTAGTTTACGCGAGTGCGCGAGTTGACGGGCCCTCAGAATTTCGGATCTCAACAACGGCTGATCCGACGAGCTTGAGACTGCGCTTAATCGATAACTTGGGTACGATTTGCATAATAAAAGTGTTTTTACTTTTCTCCTACGTGCCCCATGAGTAGAGATATTGCAATGCAAAGTCCACGGGTCTGAATTTTCATAAGGTCTGACTACGAATACCGACCATAAATCTATTTTGTTTTTTGCTAATGTGACGATAAGTATTGTTTTATATGTATATGTGTGCACGACAGGAAGGGAGACTTTTAGCAACGAGACCTGCCACAACACTTGTACAAATAAGCCACATCATTGAAAGAGAAACAGGCGGCTCGGAAGGTGGAATATACTCGTTGTTTTTCGACGCTGCTGCTAAAGTAAGACTGTCGTCAATAGTACAATCTTTTTTTTTCCATTGTTGTAAGACTGACAATGAGGAGAGAAATTTTGAGAAATATTTTAGAGCTTTCTCAGGTTTCGTAATGACGAGCAAATGACTGCCAGTATGTGGCTGGCCGCTCTAACATCTGCAAACAAGATGATATCTGAAGTTAGTGGAGCGTCAATCGGCGATCGAACCATGTTGGACGCTCTGATACCTGCGGAAAATCGATTGACACAAGCATTGAATTCTGGTTCGAATTCTGTCGATGCGTTCGGGGAAGCCGTCAAAGCTGCCGAAACTTTTGCAATGCAAACTGTGCATATGTCGGGCACTCGGTCCGCCGACTCCGACCGCAAGGTGTCATTTGGTTGTATATGATTTGTTAGGTGGTAAACTTAGTTTCCGCGGCTCACATTTACTTTGACATCTGAAACTGGCTGCATTTTAAATGTCAGACATCTGTCAATAAAATTCAGCGCGAAAAGATCCATGTAAGCGAACAGTGCCATTTGTTTCTTTTGATTAAACATGGAACGTGATAAGTTGCTTTTTCGACATGTGCCGCTTCATTACTTTGATTTGAAAAAAAAGAACTGCAGCTACAGCTCATAAATTACTTGCCGAAGCTTATGGCAGTGCTCCATCGGAAAGAACATGCCAAGAATGGTTTCAGCGATTTAAAACTGGTGGTTTTAATGCGAATGGTAAACAACGCTCAGGTCAGCCGAAAAAGTTCCAAGACACCGAATTGCAAGGATCATTGGACGAGAACTCAGCCTCAAACGCTCCAGGAATTGTCTGCGGCGTTAAATGTCACTCCGATGGCTGTTTCCAAACGTCTACGTGCAACGGGAAAGATTCAAAAGGAAAGAAAGTTATTCCTTTGCACGACAACGCTCGACCACACGTTGCGAAAGCCGTCAAGGAAACACTGATGCAGCTCGAGTGGGAAGTTCTCCCGCATCCAGCGCATTCACCGGACTTGGCTCCTTCAGATTACCACTTGTCCCGGTCGATGCATGCACGGCTTGGTGGATACACACTTAAAAAATTACGAGGACGTGCGAAAATGGATGGACGAGTGGATTGCATCAAAAGACCAATCGTTCTATCGTCGCGGAAGCCACTCGTTGCCAGAAAGATGGGAAAAATGTACAGCTAGCGAGGGCAAATACTTTGATTGATGTGTTCTTTGCTCTTGATATCGAAATAAATGAGTTTGTTGAACAAGAAACACCGCGGAAACTAAGTTTACCACCTGATATTACGTCTTGTGCACGCCACATGTACATATGTGTTTGTATGTTACGTAGACATTGAAATATCCGGATCCTGGAGCACACGCTGTGGGCATATGGATGAGAGCTGCTTACGAAGCTGTCAAGTTGAAATTTGCTTACAAACTTCAAGTATAGATAAAAGAAGAGGCAATTTTCGTTCATCTCTCCCTAATATTTTCCATCTTACAATCAGTAAGATTACGTGTACTCGTAGAAATGTACGAAAAATTTAATAAATCCTACAATCTGTTGGATCACTTTGACACGCAGCTCCTTCCAATTGACAACCCGACATGCAAATGTGTAAATTTAGTCTCGTCCATGTGTGCACGCGTGTACGTGCGTACGCGTTTCTTCGCTGTGTGTGAACCAATGTCGAGATTAGCTATCATAATGTCACGTGTCTCCGCCTCGACTTCATTTTTGTTTTATCACGTGAAAAGGATGAAAAAAATGAACTCGGCCGCAAAGACTTGCTGAGCAACTTACGAACGAGGCAGGTAAGCTGGATGGGATTGCGCGCCGCGAGAGAATTTCGGCAGAGGTTAGGTTTTAAATTGATAAACCACGAATTGCACTTATATAAATATTCAATTGTGTTCCTGTGAATCTGCGAATATCTAATAATACATCTTTTGCGGCACACAACCATCGAGTTGGCAGTATATTATGTGGAAAATAAATAATATTGCTCTGTAACAGACGCCTAATTCTCTCCGATTCATTATCGTGCACGTGTGCGATACAGATTGTTGAATACACATTAATGAATATGCTTTTAGGCTATTCCACTTGTGTGGAAACAATCTCGAATCATGTGAAGAACCGTAACGAGCGACTGTCGGACTTTCCTCTATGAGATAAGTAAAAAAAGCGGCGCGCAGAAACTGCTTTCCAAAAGCAATGAATGCTGCAATTGCATTGTGCACCTTCTGCGAAATGCACGGGCCTAAAGTGATATTTACCACGCAAACGTATCGTAACTACGATACGCAAGATGCGGAAAAGCTAAAGTTTTACGGACCTAAGGAAGTGTTGAGACAAGGTCATACTTTCTTGGACGACGGACAAGACGAATGCGAGGGCTGTCAAAGCATTGGTAATGTCAAGTATTTAAGTAACGAGCATGAAACAAGGACATCTTTTTTATCTGCTCAACAATCATTGATGCAAGATATTGGAAGCCTGCTAAAACATGCTTGCGTTAGGTACAATTATTGTATTTTATCAATTTCACACTGAGATTATTTCAAGAGTTGCTGTACGAATAAACTGTAAACTTAGTTGATTCAGAAATAACGTTGATTGAATTTTACTAACGATTAGAGTTACATTTGATCGACTAAATCTGTAATGCGTATGATTTAGTTTATTTTGAAAGCTCCTCTAGTACTGTTTTCCTTCTTTCAAGGAGTCTAAGTTGCGAGGTGCACCCTGGCAAGGAAGGTGTCTGCTACTTTGGAGATGAGTACAGGGGGCATGTTTTAAGTCATACTTTTACATTGAAAGACGCCCAGGTGAATTATGCAACGAAAAAGCATGTTTGGTAGTTATTACAACAAATTTTTCAAATCATGCCACTATTTAAATTTGAAATTGTTAAGACCTAGAGACCTCTTTTTACGATTGTGTCGACCGCTTTTGTGTTGGCGCGCCGATAAGACGGTGTATTAATCTTTTTTTTCGTAGGCAAGAGGCTTTAGAAGATGGTGCAGTTTCATTGTTTTCATGAGAGACAAGCAATTCTTGTTGAACATGTGGCCATTTTTGATTGACAATTTACGAGAGGTAATTAGAGAATTGCAAGATTTTGCGGAGAAAAAGTATAACGCTGAAGAAGCAGAGTGTCCGCAAAGGGCAATGAGATTGACGACGGCAAACATTGGGACGGGTTGCCACAACACTTGTATTAAACAATCTAGGACACTTACGGATATAACGAATGAAAAACATGTTTTTGTAAGGTATTGCACTAATCCTGTGTGCGAATCTCGATAGAATATCGTGCGCAATTATTTTCTTAGGATTATTTGCCAAAGTACCTTGTATACCTATAATCTTTTAATTATCTCACCGTATACGTGTGTGTAATGTTTCAGAATTCACATGTGGTTAGTGTGGATCCTCAGTGCTGGCGCGAGGCACTTTATAGAAATTTTCCCAATGAATTTATTAGACGACGAGCTTAATTATAATTTCGAACATCAAATTGGTTAGCAATCATAAGTATTCTGTCTATGATAACAATTGGTTTAAAATATTAAGGTGATGTCGCAAATAATTTGCAGAAACTGAAGAAGGTTTCACCTTAGTGAACGCAAAGTTGCCAGTAAACTTTAACTTCAATTGGGACGACTCTGAGCTTTCGTCAGAATTCTCTCAAGTGGCAGAAAAGTCCACCGCTGTAATTTTACGAAACCTGAAACGAGTACTAGGGAAAGATCAGTTTAGACAGTTGCTGTATTCCTGTTTAACTGGCGTTCAAGTCTTGGTGAGAGGCCCAAAGATTCAGCGATTGGAGTCTTTGTACGGGCTTAGCAGTCTTGTTCCGAGAGCATGTCGTCGGGTAAAAACGCAAACGTTGGAGTACATGGATCCAGATACATGTAACTTTATTGGTATATATATATTATCGCACTATTCTGGAAAACATAATTGCAAATAATTTTGGATCGAAAAATATTTCAGCGACATTGCATCAAAATTTTTAGGTGTGGACACCTCGGTAGCAGTTCCTTTACCTTGTGCCAATGTATGCAGGCTGGACATAATACTCGATGAACACAAGGTTGGAAATGCAAAATCCCACATAGTCAAATGGGCTGGTTCTTTACCAGTGAAACTTCCGACCTTGTTAATAAAGATTGAAAAGTCACTTGATAATGAGAAACTTGGGAGCTCGGTTCTCAAAGCACATTTTGCGACCCTTCAGCAAGAATGGGCCAAGTATGAACTATCATTTTTATTTTACAGAATGTCTATGTATTAGGTCCCTCTCTCACATTACATACATAGTTTAATATCCATTACTATTGTGCAGCATTGCAAAAGTTGTTCACGCGATGAGTGGACGAGGCCATCGCGGCGATCTCTCTGGACTCATGCTCAGTTTGGGCGCCGGACCTCAGGACAAAAAGTTGCTGGACGCATGGTCCATGGGATTACCATCTAATCCAGCATAGTTTATGAAGATTAATTTTACGTTTTACTGCACATGTAGTATATCGTTGGATGTAATATTTATTGCAGATTACGTATACGTATATGACTCGGAGTTTTACTCCGATTCCTCACGTTTGTTCGAGAGGAACGCTTACTGTGTGTGTTCAAGGTTGTGTGTCTACTTTTTTTATTTATAACTTAGTCAAAAATAAAAGTAAGTATCTTGATGAACCCTTATAAAATACTTATTACTATTTCACCTGTTGGCAACACTACAGGAACCTAACTCGGCGATGTCAGACTGGACACGTTTTTCACGCATGTGCGACAGTAATCAGCGATGTATTGGTAATATCGTATAATGGCACAGATATGAGACTTGAATTAATCTATTTTATACAAAATATGTAATATATTCATTTACACAGCTATATTATATAAATACAAGTGAGAAGATGTGTGACTGTCAAAAAGGTCTATTGTCTGTAAAGAAAATTGTTTCTTAATTTTCTTTAAGAAAATCTCACACGAACGATTAGCGACACACCTATCTGTTTGCATTAGAGAAGAAAGCTTCTCTACAAACTCGACCAGTCTGACATCACTGACTCGACTTTTGTTGTTTCCACCGAACCTTATTTGGACCCTATTTTAAAATTTTATAAGGAAGGGCTCAGCAGGTTCGAGTTTTTGGTGTTTCCACCGCAAGAGCGCTCACCCCAGCTCGATTTTGACTCGATTCTAGCCCAGCTTTTTAACCCTTGATGGAAATATAGTCATGGAAAGAATCATGATGCAAGAATACCAGGTGTAACTGTTTCACCTTGTATTTTTATATTGTGGAAAGAATGGCTGTTGATCGATTCGCGCATTTTTTTTTCTTGATGGAAACTATAAGTGTCAGACGCGCATGAATTTATAGATGCAGTCAATAAATTATTTATACAGCTAAAGCTATCTATCGAAAATAAGCGCAATGACTTTTTGAACGACCCAACAGAGGCAGGCCGAGCTGGCCGAGTGACTTTCGAGCTGACGCGCTTTGACTATTATCGCGCCTGCGCAGTAACGTCTCGCTATGTCAGCGTGATGATATTTCCCATATGATATAATTATAATATATAGATAAATATCAAATTCTGGAAGAGAATTGTACAATTTTGGACTCGTCCAAAGTGATTGGCATCTCTTCTCCCGAGTCAATTTACTTGACATTTATTTCTTAGAGAGTTAGCAGTCTAGGTGTACATATTTAAGTCTGTGGCCGTAACACGTGGCTTTTCTCGGGTATATAAATTCGTGCAGCTGATAGGCAGCTCAGTTTGGCTCAGTTAGCTGGCGGTAACAGTTGGAGGCGTCAAGCTGATTGAATACACAGTGAGAATCATGAGTACCGTTACCTGCATTGCGCCAGTCAATATTGCTGTCATTAAATATTGTAAGTACAGCCAAGGCTTTATTATTCAGTGAACAATTAAAATGTAGCTTCATTTTAAAGGATTTTACTATATTTTATATACGTATGTACAAGTGTTGTAATTTGAAAATTCAATCTACATAGATATATCCTGTATAAAATCGTGACTCTTGATTATTTGATAAATTTGAAGTAATAAGCTTTCGGGACATTTTGAACGAGGACATCGTTCATAATTTGTGATTAATGTAGCGAAGAGATACTATCGACACTGGCTTTTTGAATAATAAAATATGAAAGTGTACAAACTAATTATTATAATCCATAGCTTATTCTATCGCATACGTGCGTACTTTTTTGAGCGTTTGATTACGTCGAACGTCACATGTTATGCGTAGTTCGCGCAGTTCGTGCCACGAAGCAAAATTTGAATTTAAATGACTATCGGTAAAAAAGTGGTGGAAAACACAGTTACAATGTGGAAGTGTCGGTCACACGACTACCCTTTACTCTCAATCTGTTTTTCAAAGTGTATACAAATTAATTTTTTAGATTTGTACGATTTTAGGGGGAAAGAGGGATGAATCCTTAATCTTACCAACCAACGATTCCATAAGTGCTACTCTAGATACAGACCAGGTAAATAAAAAGTTTTAACGATATGTGAGTTATACACATTAGAAATAATCTTGGCAATGCATTATAGCCTTCGTATTTTTCTTTACAGTTGCACGCAAAAACTACTGTAATGATCAGTCCTGACTTCAAAGAAGATCGTATTTGGCTGAACGGAAAGTATGCTGAGAAAGTGTCTCATTTCCACTATTGTTCTCCTTTTATTTTGTACGCTAAATCGACGTGTGTTTCAGGGAGGAAGACATAAAAAATGCAAGACTTCAAAATTGTTTGATAGAGAGTAAGTTGGTGCACAAAAGTTTATTAAAAATGTATACTGTAAATTAAATTTAGATCCGTCAGTCGTAATGGCTTCCGGATGGTTGCCGCGTCTGTTTGCAGTGTGGCATCGACGTTTCGCAAATTTCTGAGTATCAGAGTCTCCCAGGCCTGATGATGCAAACTACAATGTTTGCGGAAGCCATTACGACTGAAGAAGACAGCAGCCGCGAAAGCCTAAATTTAGATTCTCTTCTTTTTTCCCCCCTAAGTTAGGAAACGTTCGCAACTATCTGGTCATACAAACGACTGGAAGATTCACGTATGTTCAAAAAATAATTTTCCAACTGCCGCTGGCTTGGCTTCCAGTGCTGCAGGATACGCGTGCCTTACAACGGCACTGGCTAAGCTTTACAAAATAGAAGTAATTATTTTTTCTGTTTAATACACTTTTAATTATATTAAAAAATTGTGCATATAAAGATGTACATGCCCGTAGGGAGACATTAGTGTCATAGCGCGCTCCGGTTCTGGATCAGCATGTCGCAGTACTATGGGTGGTTTTGTAAGATGGCACATGGGTTCAGACAAGTATGGAACGGACAGTTTGGCAAAGCAAATTGTGCCTGCATCTCATTGGCCTGAAATGAGGATTCTAGTGTTAGTGGTAAGAAAAGAAAATGGTTTTTTCGTAACACAGGTAACAAAGATAACTTGTAGAATCTACACATCCACAGGTTAGCGACGAACGAAAGAAGGTTCCAAGTGCAATAGGCATGAAACGAAGCATGGAAACGTCTCAACTCCTGCAACATAGAATAACGCGTGTAGTCCCGGAAAGAACTAATAAAATGCAACAGGCGATCGTAGAGAGGGATTTCAAAACTTTTGCCGAACTTACTATGAAGGATTCCAATCAGTTCCATGCTGTGTGTCTGGACACGTATCCTCCGTGTGTTTACATGAACGATATTTCCAACAGTATCATAAATCTCGTACATTCCTATAACGATGCAGTTAATGGCGTGAAGGTAAACCAAGTGTTTCTCATATTTTACTCGCATTTTCTCTAAATTGCAGCACGCAAACGGCTAGACACATTTTATTTTATCGTGACGTTACTAGGTCGCGTATACTTACGACGCTGGGCCGAACGCTACGTTATATTTATTAAAGAAAGACGTGCCAGCGGTGATGGGCGTTTTGGATCACTTTTTTCCTCCTCCTGAAAACATTGCGATTGAATACAGAAGAGGACTGCCTGTTGAAGGAATTAAACCTTCACAAGTACGTATTTTTTTTCGTATTCCATGTATCACAGGCACGTGTGCATTTATGAATTCATCCTTGTTATCTCGTGCAGAGTCTCTTGGAGAAGTTAAAATTTCAAACGCATCCACCGGGACAACTCAAGTATATGATATATACAAAGGTGGGAGATGGACCTAAGTATCTCAATGATCCACAGAATCATTTGTTGGACGATCAGGGGAATCCTATTAATTGTTCTTGATCGATACTTTTTACATGCATTTTGTTATTTATTGCTGAAAGTATTCTGAAATAAACAATCCTCTATCTCTTCTGATTTTGCCACCTTCAACTTTTATTTTCTCCAATCTTTCATATATGCTTATAAAAGTACAATTGCAACATTCTTCATTTGTCTCATTGATATTTGTACATGTACACAATGGGTGTGAATAAATTTATCTGAAATCCAACCTGACCCAACGTAATCTTGAACAATCTTGATCTACAAAAGGTATGCTAATCACGCCTTCCTTGAAATTATTCAAATTGTTTTCTTTTCGTCAGATGCATGTATTTAGATACCCGTGTACAATGAACTGTATATATGTATATATAATGTATACATAGACGCGGAAAAAGGATACTTGGAAGCAAAGATAGAGAACTCGATAGTCATGACGTACAACTATCTAGAATTCTAGATGATCACATCTAGATATGCGATGCGTCTGACCGGACAGGAGGGAGAACCAACTTAAATGGCTTGTCCAATAGGCTTGTGTGTATGTACAACACAGCGTGATATTTCACAAGCCAACGGCACACGAGACTATTTTTCCTACTGGATTGCTTACGATAGTCAGTCAGGATTTAGCCTCAAGTCACCTGATCGAAACTCTGCATCTTTATTGGCTCTTGTAAGCAATCAAGTAAGAGAAATAGTATCGTGTGCCGTTGGCTTTAGTTTATCCCGTACTACTAGACATTAGCGGATTAGTTATTACGAGTGTTTGACTACGTGGATGAATGAAAACTATGTGCATTACATAAAACTATTAACTTGTTCGACTATAGCTATTCGGTTCAAAGTGTGACTGCGTGTGACCGTGGGACAAAGTCAAGCAGCACAGACCATGAGCAAGCTGGAACTTATAAAGACCGTTTTGGGGAGAATCGCCAATGGTAAAAGCTTTGATCGGTGCATGAAAAATGTGAGTGGGACAAACTTGACTCGATCGACCAATATTTTATGCATGTAATTAGGTCTAACCTATCGGTCAGTAGATCTAACTTGTGCTATTCGTTTTGTACTAGATGTCTATAAAGATCCCGGGAGAGTACGGCTGATGGCAGAGAGCAATCCGTAAACGCTTAAGACTGTCTCAGTCGTAGACGTAGGGCAAGGCAGAGAGAAACGTAAGTCTCGTATACAATAGCCTTTCACAACTTACGTTTCTCTCTGCCTTGCCCTACGTCTACGACTGAGCCAGTCCTAAGCGTTTACGGATCATTCTCTACCATCAGCCTATATTGTGAATTTTTGAATAGGTAAAATTGCTGTCAGCCGACGATGGAAGATGCAAGGCAGAGAGAAACGTAAGTCGTATACAATAGCCTTTCACGACTTACGTTTCTCTCTGCCTTGCCCTACGTCTACGACTGAGCCAGCCCTAAGCGTTTACGGATCATTCTCTGCCATCAGTCCATATTGTGGATTTTTGAATAGGTAAAATTGCTGTCAGCCGACGACGGGAGATGCAAGGCGCAATTTACCGTGGCGGAAGAGCACTTGAATCAAGGTGGCTTTCTACATGGTGGTTTTACTAGTACCGTCATAGACTGCGTATCTACGTACGCATTGATGACACACAAGACTGATCCACCTCCTGGTGCTTCCGTAGATCTGCATGTGACGTAAGGGTCCCTGAATTTTTACTGAGTTTCTTTATTATGTTCTGATCATTTATATACAGTTGAAACATTACACTGCTTTGCATGTTTTTAACTCAAGTCTATTCCTACATTGATAAATGTATACGCGATCTATGGCGTACATTGATTAGAGACTAGACACATTGAACGTAACGACTGTAACTTGATAATTTTTATTAGTAAAAAGAGTATTCAAAATTTGCTTATGTTGTACATCAGAATAATTAATGGCACAGGTTCTTGAAGGCTGCGTTTCCTGGCGAAACGGTGACGGTCGACGCTAAAACTGTGCGCACCGGGAAGACATTGGCTTTCCTCGCAGTGGAGCTTACAAAGAACGACGGTAAGGATATTGTTGCCCGTGGACAACACACAAAGTACCTTCGATCAGTTAGTCAGTGAGAAAAAAATGTCGATACATGTATATAATGTCCATAATAAAGAGTAAGATCTCATTAGTGCGTTGTTATAAAAGCTGCGTAAGCTTTGCGCTGTGATACATGTATACAACTCGGTCTGTATCGCGTTGTACACGCTGGTAATAGCTGCGTTAGTCTAAAAGAAACGATCGCGCGATGCTACTTGTGCAAATGCGCCTATTTACAACAATAAATGCATCGAGGATATCGGCAATGTCTGCGATAGAAAAGGGAAGGAAGGAAGAGAGCGAAAGCATCAAAATCTTGTACATGTTCGGCTTTCTATCGTTGTGTTCTAATGTCTTGTAAAAGTGAGTCGAGTTCTTTCACTTTCCGCGCCAAATCGCTGGCCTGCTCTTGCAATCTCCTTGCCTCTCGGTCACTCTCTTCAAACAGCCTCTGCAAATATAGAATTTTCTCGTCGCGATTCAACGAGCGCGTGTCCTCGACGTAGTCGTGGCTGGGTGCAAGATACTTGGCAGCTTCTCTGCGCGCGCGGGATATGGTATTGTCGCGATTGTCCTCGCAATTGTCGCAACAATCGGACCACGCGCTCAGGTCCATGTAGGGGATCTCGTCACAACTGACAAAGTCGTTGCGACCTTCGGGCAGTAGAAAGACGTCGGGCTGCACGCGAGTGATATTATCGCCGTTGTCGCACAGGATTCTGGCCAGCGACACTTGCTGGATCTGCGCGAGCTGCTCCGCGCGAAAGACGCTCGGATTCTCATACCAGAAGCGATCGCCGTCGCGCGTTCGCCGGAATTGCTCCAAGAGAAGACACTTGAACAACGGCCCGACCTTCATCCCCGGCAATTGATCCTCGAGAATACCGCCGACCCAGACGTCTATATTGCCCGGGTGGCCGTAGAGCTCGCGCAGCTTCTGTCGCACTCGTGCGCTGCTGATATCGTCAGCCAAATGCTCGAACGTCTCGACGCGGGACATGTTGCAGTAAGCGCGCCACTCCACATAGCCGGGAATCCCGTGATCTCTCCCTCGCTGGATATTCATCGCCGCTAGATCGAGCGCGACCGCGTGAGCGGTACGGAACAGCTGTTCGGTGAGCTCGACGTTGAGATTCTGCTCGGGCAGCTTGAGCTTCGCCGCTGTGGCGTACATACCTCGGACCAGAGGATCGACGCCGCCCTCCTCCACCAGTCGCCAGGGCGCGAAAAAGGCGTCTCGCAGATTGAGAGGACCCTGAGGAATCGGTCGGAAGGAGGCGTTCAGGCGCTCGAGGCGCGGCTGGATGAGCGAATGACCGAAACGCAGAGCGGCGGTGGCGAAAACGTTGGATATGCTGGCGTCGACGTTGGAATCGTAGCCTCGGTACGGCGGCAACGAGTCGTCGAGCGCCGCTCCAAATACCCGCGGCAGCCAGTACCGATAAGTGATGTGCTGCATCTCGGCGCCGACGATACGCCTCGCTTCCTGATAGAGTTTCTCGCCGTTCCAGTGTGGATTCATCTCGCGTAGCGCGCGAGCGATGCGGTTGTGCTCGCGCAGCCACAAGGTATGCATGGCCAGCAGGCCGACCTGCTCGTTGGCGCGAATGTCGCCGGCTACGAAGCAGTTGATCGAACTCTCGAGTGGATTCCTACGACAGTCGACAAACTGGCCGGACGCGTACGGCAGCAGGGGTTTATGGCCGGGGAACGTGGGACCTTCACGCAGCAGTCCGCGATCCGTCGTCAAGTCGCGGAGATCCCGCGCCAGCTCGTCGTCGTAGCCGTAGACTTGCGAGCCGTCCAGGTAGCTAGTCAGCTGATTCAGCTGTTCCCGCGGCGTCAGGCCGTCGCCCCACAGTATACTGGTCGCGCCGGAGCCGCACACGGCGCTGGTTCTCACAAAGTCGATGCACCGTCTGTTGCTGACGCGCGGGTCACCCGCCGGCACTTCCATCGGGAAGCAGGGAGCGGCGTTGTCGCAGGACTTCTTGCAGTCGATTCCGTCCCACGACTCGCTCGACACCGACGGTAGCGCGTGGTCGAGATCGTGGTCCAGGAACTGACCCCACTGCATCACCATGTGGGTGATCTGATCGTCCGACGTAATATCGTGGGTGGAGATCAAGGTGGTCGACACCAGGCGTGCGGCGGGCTTCGGATAACCGTAGTACCGCCGTCCTCTCTCCCAGCCGACCGGCATCGAGAAGCCGTTTTCGTAGATGGGTTGCAGTATCCTTCGGAATCCCGTGTAGGACGAGCCCCAAGTAGGATGGCGCAGATTGTTGCAGCTGCCGTCCACGCTCCGGTATTTGTGGTGGAAGCACCTGTTGGTGCAATTCTGTCGACGCCTGTGACCGGTGCACCCGGACAATCGCTCAATTTCCTTCACCTGAAACGGGACGCGCGTATTAGAATCTAATTTTGCCTGTTTTCTTTTTGTTTTGTTTTTCTCCCCCCGGGCGTATCGATCTTTACCTGTTCGGGCGTCAAGATTTCCTCGTAACGAAATTCGCCAGTGACGTTTGCCTTACTGCCGGCGTCCACCATACGTCGGATATTGACGAGGGTTCTCTCGAAGAGCTCGGCGGGCCTGGCGGCCGCGCGACCGACCGCGTTCGGAAACCGCGCCAGCCGGAATGGATTAACGTGTTTGGAGCCGTCGGGACTGAAGAGAGAGGACAGCGTTTTATTAATGGCACGGTCGATCTCCTCGGTGGCACTTTGGAAGGCTCGTACGACGAGCGCATCCGTTGCGCTGGGCTGCCGAACGCGCACAAAGGCACCGGCGGTTGCGCGGCCGTAGTCGTTTATAGCCGAGCACTCGTATCTGTAAAAGAAACGCGATCCTTTAATATTTTCGTACGTAGGTAACTCTGAGAGAAATGCTTCCTCGTGCTAAACGAAGTCTGATGACGGGCATTGATCAGTGAGCAGCGGGTGTTACTTGAACCGTGAGATAGGACATACCTGCCAGAGTCCTGCGGAATCACGTTGAATATAACAAGACTGCCCCCACGCATAATCTTGACCCGGTTGCCTTCGAGCGCGCTACCGTCCTTCTTCCATTGCATCACCGGCTTCGGGCTGCCGTCGGCCCGGCAAGGTACCTCAACGGTGGCGTCCAGTTCCACCTCCATGTCTTGCGGTTTGAAGATGAGCTGGGGCGCGGTGAAGTCAACGACGTTCAAGTCCGCGAGGAGGTGGACCATGTGATCGATACTCCTGAGATAACACTCGTACTGGCCCGCGTCGGTTTTCTTAACCGCGAGGATGCGCAGCGAGGTGCCGTCGTTCTCGAGCGAGACTCTGTCGCCGAAGGAGACCGGTCGGCCGTCTCGGGACCAGCGAATATCGGGCCTGGGACTGCCTAGCGCTCGACAGGAGAAGGTCACGTCGGTGCCGGCGCTCACGTTCTGCGACTCCGGTCTCTCGGCGAGTATCAACCGAGACGCCGCCGTAATCACCGTCCTGGCTTTCCTGGATTTTATCGAGCCCATGTCGCTGCTGGCTACGCACTCGTACATCCCGCTGTCCTGCTCGGTCGTGCCGGAGACCACCAAGGTGCCGTCCTCGCGGATTACATATTTCTCGCCGTCCTCGTGGATCACGTACTTCTCGTTATCATCGTCCGCCTCCCACGAGTATCTCCGCCTGTTTTTCATCCATTTGATCTTCGGCGCCGGATCACCCGTTACTCGACATCTCAACGTCATCGTGTCACCAAATCGTACTACGGTGTCTTCCGGGCCTTCTATGATGCGCGGCTTTGCTACGAAAGGAAGCAACTTTTGTTACGACCGACTGTGAGAAGAAACATATTAGATGACGAAACGTCAGATTCTCGCCTCCATTTTACATATTTGCTTTATCTGCTTTTAGCGATTCTGTCCACTGCGAGTTCTCGTGCATTAAGGTGAGAATACAGGAAGAGAGAAGCGCGATTGTATTTACCGGATAATCCTCTACAAATTGACTTCCAAGTTGCTCCGTCACCGCGAGAATTAGCTATAATAACGGCGGTCAATTGACTTGGAAATTTTGATTTAATAATCTTCCGGAAGGATCATCACGCGATACATCCTCGCGAGAGGTAATCGTCACGCGAGATGTAGCAGCGCGATGACCGCGGTGTCAACGACCACGACGACGTAAACGGACATCGAGTTGATCCTACATCAGCGACTATCAGCCGGAATCCTATGTGTAATAGGGAACGCGTGTAACGATGGAGAGTATTTGCTCAGTGTTGTTTTCCAAAAATTTCAGGGTCTCGAAGGGCTAAAATGCGCGTAGCTGACGTCAGAGAGCTAGAGAGAGGTGCCGAGGTGGTTCTACTCAACTGCAATGAAAGTCCTCGGGCAACATCGTTGTTAAGGAGCGACCCTTCATGTTGTGCGGGGATTGGCAGATCGCGGCCATCTCCGTAGGCTTGTCCCGCAGGCGTTCCACCAGCCAGACCAGGTTGCAGTCGCAGATGAGCGCGTTGCTGTCGAGACGCAGCCGCGTCATCGGGCCGACGTTGACGAACGCGTCCGCCGGTAGCCGATGGAGCTTGTTGCTGTGCAAGAACAGGCGCTCCAGCGTCGGCAGATTGTTGAACGTGCCCGGTTGGATCTCCCGCAGGTGGTTGTGATGCAGGTACAGCTGCTCGAGTCGCGGCAGCCCCGCGAACGCGCCCGGCGCGATGTGCTCTATGCGATTTTTGTACAAGTAGAGTATCCGTAGATTCGGTGCGCCCTCGAACGCGCCCACCGGCAGCCGTCGGATGTGATTGTCGTTCAGCAGCAGGCTGTGCAGCTTCTTCAGTCCGGCGAACGACCCCGCGCGCACTTCCGCGATGTTGTTAAATCGGAGATCTCTGAAAGAATTTCGACAATTTCTCGGGATGAGCGTCAGATAGAGAGGAGAAACGATAGTCGACGAGGTTCTACTCTTCCTGGAGAACTCGCGGACTCGGAGCCATATATTTTGCCGAAGTTTTTTATCTCTTCAGAGATTTGACAGATTATCGATACGTATTGGCGCGTGCAATTTGTTAGATCTAGAATCGGACCGTCAGGATCAGATCGCGTTTTGATGATCACATTTTGCGCTAAATGCGAGACGAATATATCCAACGGAATTTCACGTGTGGGTGGAAATACCGTAACTATAAATCTGTCCGCCCACGTGTTTAGTGAAATGAGCGAACGAGGTATTCGTCGGGATATAAGACAAAGTAAATCATAGAGCGTTGTCCCTTTGATAGACGAATAATGACGAATAATAACGAATGACAAATAGATATTGATTAGTAAGTTAGATTTGCGAAAATTTGACTCGAGTCCTGAGCGCGCGGATCTGCCTGTTGGCAAAACTATGATTACATTGTGCACAAATAAGTATGTCTTACTAACGATCCGTGCGGTAAAATGTCGAGAAGGTAATCAGAGTGCCGTGCCTCGTAATTGAATATTCAGCTGCATGGTTTAATCGTTGAGAAATTCATCCAATTTGTATAAAGCGCGCTGCACAATCGCATAATTATTACGACGACTCGGCGCGGCATGACAAAGATATTCTACTGGTTATCAGCCGCAAAGCCCCCTTAATTAACAATTTTACTCGACTCGTTGCACATTACTTCCTTTCTAAATTACTGACTCGAGTTCTCGCGCTCGACCCGACGGTATTTCAACCTTCTTCTTATCGTACCAACGAATCGTCGCGCCGTCGTCGCGTCGCGGCGCGAGTACTGCCTGCTGAGAGAAAAGTAGAAAAAGCCCGACTCGTAACTGGCGACAGTTCTTTGCACAATGCCGAGGCCTTTTATGTTTTTCTACAATATAATTGTTATTTTCATACACCATTTTTAGACTCTCATCCACGCGCAAGATATCAATAAATTGCGGTGGCAATTAGTCAATGAAAAAAAGTTACAGTCCCATTTATTATGAAAGAAAGGCCATTTTAATAATCAGCTCCAGTTTCTTCACTGTGACCTTACATTACTTTGCACAATTTAATTTTACATTTCATGGCAGTTAAATACTTTAAAACGCGACCTCGATAAAATATCGCCTTAATGTCGACGACATCGGTTACGAAATTTGAGGAACGAGTCACGAGACATACCTACGTCTACAGCTTTTTCTGAAAAGCAGAAGAAAGCAAGTTTAAAGCTCTCGATGTTGACATGTTGAGATTATTTTAGAAACGGATTGTAATGAGGGAAACAAGTTTTAAAATTACAAAACAAAATAAATATTTATTTCTTTCATAACTTGAAATTACTTTTTGTAAAGTTTTGTTTGAAAAGTAAACATTTTAAACTTGCACCCTTTTGTCTCTTTCATACGTATAAATGCACTATGACGTCATATTATTTCTAACGTCAACTATCGCACGCGTGGCCATTTCGATCGTTCTCCATCGATAGAAATGTGCATCGATGCGTACAAATCGGTGGTTTATTCGTGACTTAACGCCACGTGATGGAGCGCTCGTATTTAATAACGGAGACCGCACGAGCGAATTAATGGCATTAACGGCAGCGGATAGAGCGAATATATGAGAATGATTCCGGGAAGACGATTCGATCTCTTCTGGACCGTATTCCATTCAATCACAAATATCGGTTTTCATCGAAGCCGCGGTTTCACCGCTCGATTCATCGAGATGCACGAATATCTATAATTATAACGATGACGTAATAAACTGTCCTCTTGTGGAATGCAAATTCACGTCCTCGAACGAATCTGCCTCGTTTCGTACAGCCAATTGGCTCCACGCAGATATCGTATACTTTAAATTAATAAATTGACATTATCACTTGTGCATAGTAAACGAACAATAAATAGATCAGTTTTAAAAAAAACTAATACAATATAATTTTTACATATTAAAAAGCCTCAGTTGACGAAGTGAAACTGATCTCTCCACGAAAAATGGGATTGTTTTTTTGACTTTCAAGTAAGCGACAAGTTAACACATAGAAATCATTACAGTTCAAGACGTCGAAGATTTTATAATTGCACATACCAAATATTTACACGTAATTACTTAATTTCTTATTATAGTTGAAACAAATACACGCTGAAGAAGACAAAGTTATGTCGAAACGTTCGTTATTAGGAATTTTAAATGTTAAGACGAATATGGTAGCACGCGAACTATTGAAAACCTTTTAAAACCAACATTGTTCGTGAAACTAATTGGCCTATTTAATTTTAAATATATTAAAAATTGTCAACATTCAACGAGAAAAGAATGTTATCTCAAATACACTTGACGCAGGTTTATGTTATTTAATTGGATTCAGAGAAGTGCAATGTCTTGTATCAGACCGCAGGTGATTTAATCGAGCGGGGTCTAATTTCTGGCTTACGTTACGCAGCGACCATAATTTTTGGGCGCGCTATTTTACATGTAATCAAAGATTATCGCGTGGCATGTAGCACGAGAGATATCTCGGTGGATATCGGTATCACGGCACAAGTACCTATTTATTCAGCGAGACCCTAAACGGATACTTAAAGATACTCGATATGCAAGTCAATGTCCTGGATATTTCATCGATCATCGACCGACAAGTGCAGACGTCCATTTATCTCGTCTTTTGTAATTAAAGGAAGTTATAAATAATAATTATATCCATCAAATGCGTCGAGATTTTAATGGTGATTTTAACGCGAGAAAATTCAATTGAACACACTAATTATAATAACATATATTAGATAAATAAATGATAAAGTAAATAAAAATAAAACATTCAAATCTCATTAAAGTTATTTTAGCTCTACATTTTGAATTAATTGTCAATGAAATGTGTGTTCGCGTCTGCGTGCAACTCATCGTCGTTAGAAACGATATATCATATTAAACTTTGTGTTATTTCTTTATATTCTAATCTGTTAGCTTTCGTCATATGATGGCTGTGCAAGGCTAAAAGCCTGTAAACTTCTTGGTGTAGGCTTTTATCTACGCGTTTCTTTAACATTAAAATTGGCAAAGAAGAGATCAAACGTGTTCATTTATAATCTCTCAACAAATATGTATATAGAGCGTCTGTTACTTGTATTTAAATAAAGTTTCTTTGAATCTCGTGGGCCAACAATATTGTGCTAAATATGTTAGAACGCCGGGTAGCTCATCGTTACGGAAATAACAGAATAATGTAAATTATGATCGCATTTATATGAGCGTGGGACGACGCGACTGGCGGAGAAGAAAGGATTTAACGCAGAGAACTTGTCTCTGTTTGATACATAATATATGTACGGAATCTCTATATGAGTTATATAATAAAACTTCATCGCCATCGCATGCACGAGCAGGACTGTTGAATTAATCAAAGAGTCAAGCTTCGCATCTCGGCGACGCATCGTATAATGTATTCCAAAATTCCAAGTACTTGTATCTCGCTACATCTACTTTCTAACTCCGAAGAGAATTAATCGAAGACGGTCGCTATTTAAAAATCGTGGATTTGTTCTTTTTTCTGAGCGAATCAATTTACTATTTTGCACAAAATAAGATTGTAATTATAGAAGAGATCAAATAAAACTTCATGAGAAAAAGGCAATTATTTATAATGCAAACAAGAAGAAGGAAAAAATCTTATGTGAATATTTATTTATTTTATCTTAACAAGCTGCGTCAGAGAAAATATCACATATCGATAAAGAAAGCAAAGGTAGTTGTATTCTCAATACTAAGTTTACATTTCCACAATGTGTTCTAAGGTTACACAATGATTTGTGTCGTCCAATAGCGGAATAGGGTCGCGGTTATAAATGGTGGTTCTCTTCATTGAGCAATTCTTTCTTCAAATATATTAAAGCTTGATTTGTAAAAAATAAAAATTTGTAGATAAATAGCAAACAATGGCAAGAAAATAATTCGTAATAATAGCGCACTTCATCTCTCCCGATGATTAATGACGATTCATGACGAAAAACGAGTATTTTATTTTTGGAAACAAGTTGTAACGCTGTTACGCAGTAGCGATAATATTTATATAGATTGTATTGTACGCAAATGAAACAAATACGTATATAATTATACCCGATGTACGGACATACGTTATATGTTCGAAGGTGCATGAAGACTAAAGATAAATAGAATGAACAAGATTTATCGCTGATTCGCAGAATCGCAAACTGATTCGCCAATGTTTGCCACAGCGTTCCGTCTTCGGCCGAGATTTTGCGCAACGACTTACAATAAAAATGATAAAGAATCGTACGCTCGTGTACTCTTCACACAGATTGCAGGCTATTCTTTTATTTTCTCCAACGAGCGCGTCGAAATTTACGGGTACAATACGTATCAGTGCGATTCGAGATAAATCGAGGTGATAAAATAATCGGTCGTCTACACACGGAGATACGGCGGCGTTTTTTAATCACGTTTATGACTTTTTAATTCAAGTATTAAATAATCTCTTCAAGTGCGCGCTTTTCGAGGCAGCGAGAAGCCACGACGGAGCCGACTCGATATAAGTAATCGAATTATTTGTAAAAATTCGTAAAGCAATTATTTGCACGCATTTAATTAATGTGTATGCCACGCGGTATTAAGAATGTCGGCTTAAACGAGTCCGTGGCATCGTGGCGCGGCTTCATCGAATTCGTTCACCTAACCGCTCTGCTCCATTCTCCATCGTTCCTTTCTGCGAAACTCCACTTTAAAGCCGCATCGTAACTTATATGTATATGTATATATATAGTTCCAAGTAGTTCGGCGGCCTTTGATTTTGTTCGTCTACTTTGCTTCAAATCGATAATTTATACGTTCGCTCGCTAAATTTACACTTCCATGTTTAAATTGACGCACTTCTTATGGGTTTTTGCAGATTATTACAACATGGTCGAGACTCTCTCGTCGTCAGAGTGCATTTCCAGCGTTGAGAAATTCTTTTCTCTTCCGAGACCTGTCGCGGATAATTGTAACGCGGGGTTCGATTAATTATTATAATGGATTTACAACGCGACGAACTCTTGAGACAAGCTTAGAGGCATTGGAGGAATAACCCAAGGAGAAGAAAAAGTCAGGATGACGTCAATTTGATGTAATATTGACCAAATTTATGTCAAATTTTGGTCAATTTGATGCCATATTGACCAAGATTTGATATAATTTTGGTCAATATGACATCATCCTGATTTTTTGTTCTCCTTGGAAAGTTTCTGCCATTGAAATATGATGTTATTTTTCCCTTTCAACGCTGCCGAGAGTGCAGATGCATTTTCCACGTGTGAGAAAGCGCGCCGAGTCGTGATCTTCTTAACTCTTAACTGATCATACGTCTCGATTAGTATCCTTCCCATAAGCGAATGTGCACTTTAACGCACTTTCTCTTGACCTTTCGTCATTCACCACAATTCCACCTACGTCGATTGGCAATCAAACCGACGACGATCGCACGCTTTTCCTCCCCGTGTAATTTTAAAGCGTCGGACTTTTGCACGCGTCGGAAAAGCTTGTGAAACACTTTGTGCGCAACATCCCGCGTACAATTGCCGATTGATCTTGGAACGAAAGAAAACCAATAACGAGTCGGAGAATAAAAGAGGCAACTTACAGAACGGTGGCATTGGCGGGCGCCCGCGGTACCTGGGTCAGCTTTAGGAACATACATCGCACCTGCGTCGTGCTGTTGTAGCACACGCATTTCTCTGGGCATTCCACCGTTGCTCCAGCGGCCTTCTGCGAGGGATCCGTCGCGAACAGGAGCGGCGGGACCAGCAACGTCCAGACAAGCAGGTCCACGGTCCGCCTCATGTCTCTCGCTCGATCGTCGCGGCGCCGAGGGTACTATACTCGCGAGAGGTATATTCGGGTGAGGTAGCCGCTACGTCGGGGCCGCGGAGGGGCCGTGCACCACGTGGAGTTGGTCTCTCTCTCTTTCTCGAGTACTTTCACCGCGTCGGTGGCAGGATCAATGGGAATCCGGTTGGACCAGAGTCAATACCGAGCGGGAGAGACACAGGGTCCGGGAGCCTCCGTGGTCGGGAGCCTCCGTGAGGAGTAGAGGCGATCGCGCGGGGCAAAAGAGAGGAAGAAGGAAACGCGCTGCGGGCTCCAGTAACCACATCACGTCGCACGCCTGGCCGTCCGGTTGCCGAGCGGCGGCAGCCACTACTGTAGCGCTACGCGACTCGTATTCGCGTCGGGACCGCCGGGAGTCGGGACCACGGGACCACTCGTCCAGAGAGAGGGTCCATCGCGTCGCGCGCCAGCACAAAAGACTTCCCCGTGCGCGAGGCTCGCTCCTCGCCGCTTTCCTCCCTCCGTTTCTCCAGCACCGTCGCGAGGCACGTTCAACGGATAGGACGCTAGTCCAAGAGCATGGGAAGATATTTCCACATACTAGCGACGACTATATAAGCCTCCTCTCGCTTCCTCTCAGAAGTCAAATACTCAAACTCATCTTCTCTCGCGCTTGCGATTCTACGTACACCTCCTCGCGCCCACGTTACTCATTAAGATGTCGTTTTCGACGATATTCGGCTTTTAATAATGGCGAGATTATTTATGCACCTGGCCTCAGCTTCCTGACGCCGTCGATCTGTAATACAATAGGTTCCATGAGCAATTAACATTTTATCTATGTCGCAATGTGTTTTGCTTATTGTTAGATTGAAGCCGCAACAGTCGGTCCGTTCTCGATAGAAATATGATTTCGATATCTTTCACGTACACTCGTTTTACGGTCGAAAATACAGATTTGTGCAGCGGCGCATCATTAGAGCAAAAGTGTACAACGTCGGACAACCTTTCTGACCACGACCGTATGCATTTGTTATACTTCCCTTCTTTTCTGATCGTTCTTGTACCTGTTACTTTTGCTGATATTACATAAATTCTAGATTTGATAACGTTATATAACTACATGTCTCGAATTTGGCTGTACCCAAGGAGAATAAAAAGTCCGGATGATGTCAATTTGATTTTTTTTTGTCAATATGGCATCAAACAAATTTTGGTCAATATGGCGTCAATTTGACATAAATTTGGTCAATATGACATCAAATTGATATCATCCTGACTTTTTCTTCTCCTTGATTTTGGTCAATTTGATGCCATATCAAAATTTGACATAAATTTGGTCAATATGACATCAAATTGACACCATCCTGACTTTTTCTTCTCCTTGGGTAACTACGTGTCTCGAATTTGGCTGTACCCAAGGAGAAGAAAAAGTCCGGATGGTGTCAATTTGATTTTTTTGGTCAATATGGCATCAATTTGACATAAATTTGGTCAATATGACATCAAATTGACATCATCCTGACTTTTTCTTCCCCTTGGGTAACTACGTGTCTCGAATTTGGCTGTAGCTTGCCGTAATGTGTATCCAGATAATATCTTAAGATGACTGTTATTTCATACTCGCTTACGCTTGGGCTGCTTATTCGCGCCGCGGCGAGTAGGCAGACCAAGTGGACCCACGAGTGGACGTGTACGCGTTTCCAGTGCACACCTGATGAAACACGCACAGAGCAGCAAGTAGATTGAGCTTGTAGATGTAATGCTCGTGGGCGTAAACGTTTTGTTTATATCGGACACTGCGTTGCTCGCAGTACGATGAAACGAGACAAGGGTGGGAAGCAGCATTAGTCGAATGGATGCGTTAGTGGCTTGCTATTGCTGCTTATATTTAGCTTATCTACGCTACGGTAAGAACGGTGGTGCTTACGTTTACGCATTTATGCGCGTACAGTTGCCCAAGCGAACTCGCGATAATGCGACAACCTGTAACGAGAGAACCCTGCAGCTGAAATGCTCGTGGCGATCACGCTCAAGTAAATGCTCCGCTGTATATACTAAATTGAAAATATACATGGAGATTAATCGATTTAACGCGTCTTGGAGCCTCGCTCTCTTTGATCGGTTTTTATGTATCTTTTTATTATCTCTAAAATGTTTGTACGGAAGCAAATAAGAAAAACTTTTACAAGCTGTAGATGTCTATCCGCGAACATTACATTCTCCTTGTTAATCGCGTAGCGAGTTAATTTTCTTCGGAATCGCGTACGTAATTCCAATGAATGCGTCAGAGTATTGCACCAGAAGCGTGTAACCAACCATCGTGGCATAACCAGCAGGCATAACCGTTGTGTAAAGATAACGGTACTTAATTAAACGGACGGTTTAGCGGGTGCCGTGAGGAAGTGATCTAGTTTATAAATAGCACCGCGAGATTGACGCTCGTATCGTTATTAATACATTCTCTAGGCATGATATTATCGATATGATATTGTTAATTTTAATGAAATGAATCTGATATTATTGATCGATTGAAATTGAAGTTTCACTCTCGAATTACCTCGTTGCCATGCCCCTTCGCCTTCGTCACTTGCCTCCAAATTAGATTATGTAATTCAAACCATGTCTGAAATGGTTTGGTACATGGCGAAAAGTTTCGGAAAAAGTTGTTCCCGCGAGAATGTTGTTTGGTAGCAAAAGAAACAGAAGCGTTCTTCTTCCATTCATAATGCGGGCTCTCAAGGAGGAACAGACGGGAACGTCCCTACGGATAGAGAAGTCATTGTTGTTACGTCATTCAACACAGCTACACATACAGTATACGCGGAGAACAATGCAGGTGAATGATGGACGCAACAAAAGGATGTTGAACGACAGAGAAAATGAAAGGGAAAGAATATTAACATATTGGATCGCTGTGCAGAGAAAAACTACGGAGGGAGAATCATTCTAGGAGCATCAAACTGACTGATCCCAAGGAGAAGAAAAAGTCAGGATGATGTCAATTTCATGTCGTATTGACCAAATTTATGTTAAATTTTGGTCAATATGGCATCAAATTGACTAAAATTTAACATAAATTTGGTCAATATGATATCAAATTGACATCATCCTGACTTTTTGTTCTGCTTGGGATGATGTCCACGCCCGGGATAAAAATGGAAATATCTCATTATGTCTAATTCTAAAATCACCAGATCTTCAGAGATCCGATACTTTTATTGAATATTCAATGTTATTATCTATGGAGATCTAATTGTCCCAAAGAAAATGAAAAGTCAAGATGACGTCAATTTATGATGTCATACTGACCAAATTTATGTCAAATTTTGGTCAATATGGCATCAAATTTACCAAAATTTGACATAAATTTGGTCAATATGACATCATTCTAACTTTTTGTTCACCTTGGGTTAACTCACAGAGGTATTTTTATCGATTGAAATACTAATTATTTTACAGTACCGGCGATTTTACGGTTCTTGTTACTTTATAGGGAAAAAGTGCATACTTGTTGCGAAAGAAGATCCCTTGTCCCGAGGAAGCATACATCGACGTGAGCTTCTAGTTGGCATTGTGACGGCACACGCGTTTTAGATTATAGACTTTATGCGCCAGACGTCCCTCATAGATGCATCGGTTAGAGTTGTGAGGAAAATTCGTTGACCTTATTGTAACGAAGACTGCATTCTCCACATATACATCCACCACGATAAAGGATCTAACAGTCCATATTACTCGATGCCTTTATCATCCTGAGATGAAAGGAATACCGTATGTTTATCAAATTAATGCTCTTGTCGCTGTAAGACCTTCCTATAATTAAAATCCACACACATTATGGTCAAATAATATTTGAACGGTACTACATTAAAGATTACTAGAATATTATCTGCAAATTGTATTCTTCGAACACGGTCTGACATTGTTTTCATACTTTTTGTGCCACCTGGTTACATCATTAACACACGTAAAAGCCATCACGGCTAAACTTTATTCTTTTGCCAGAAGAGAAACTTGTTGCAATGCCCATCGCGCCTATACTCGCGATGCGTTTGTGACGATAATACCGCGTTACCTAAAACGGTAGATGCGTAATCCCAAGTGGGCGCTGACATGAAATACGGATATAGCGAATGAAATTTCCCGAACGAGTCATAACCGAGCCGCCGAAGGAAGTTTCGAGGAGATAGATTATTCTTTGACGCGACTATCTACCGAAGAACCAGAAGAAAAATTGAAGATATACTCACCCGAATGGTTGTGTCGCGTTGATGAAGATTGTCTGGAATATCAACCGGTGTCTGATGAGAAATCAGTTGTCACTCCAATGTCAATCGTCCGCCTGAGTAGTCTCATGCCCTCTTGCGATTTCTAATTTTTTAAAGAAGACTGCTCATCGAGGAGATGTTGTCTCTACAAGAAAATGGCAAAGTGACGAGAAAGGGTAAAGAGTAAAGGAGATGACAGGTGTGACTGCGTTTAAAACGAAATTAGAGTTTGCACAGTAAAAAATCGTGTGTTCAAATGTTAAAATGTTCTTGTGTCACCAAGACTTGATTCTTTACTTCAATGTGAAATTAACATAAAACGCATATGTTATTATTTTCGTAACACTTTTCTGTGTTATATTTATGTTAACATAATAACTTGACGCTTTATGTATGTTATTTAATTTAAATTGAATATTATTTTGAGTTCTTTTAACACAACTATTTCACAAAATCAACCAAAAACATGCAATATCGACATTTCTTAAAAATTATTTCAACTATTCTGATTTGTAACTATTTGTACAGTTTACTTATTCTTCCTGTTTTTATTGCATCACACTTAAGATTGAAAGAACATAAACGTAAATGCGAAGTACAGTGTTGATTAATTAACATTTATAATTTGTCAAAAAGTAACACACGCGATGACTGTTATTTTAACTTAAGATTTAAAGTGGACTTTTTGGGACATGTAAAAAAATGTTAACATTAACATTTTATTTTTTACTGTGTATACGCAAAATTCGCAACGCATCCCAGACAGCACACCTGCATGTCTAAAAGACAGCTTTAAGACGTCTTTAAGTCTAAAAGACGTCTTAAAGACGTCTTTATGATGTCTTTTAGATATGTGTGCTGTCTGGGATTTTGCAATTTTCGGAGATTTTTGCAATCTGTTTTCAGGCTGCTGCGGAACACATGCGTTTATCACGGGTTCACCCGTGAAAAGATTCCCGCTCTTCATTCTCGTCTTCTCTATTTCAGCTTGTCCTTGCATCGTGTCGGCTTACAGATGTGCGAAGGGGCGTAGATATCGTCAGCACCGTAATTTGCATCGCGATATCGAATATCGGTTACGTAATTCGTCACAATGTAACGCGATGTTGTCGCTGAGATTGCAGAATTGATCTCGCGTGGTTAACTCCCAACCACGTAGGAAGCAATTATTGTTATATAACCGTAATATATAAGCATCATTCGGAGAGTGTAAACGAGCTTTTAACCTTAGGTTACTACCATCCGATCCGAGAGACCCGAGCAGAATCTTTCAGATTACAATAGAAATTCTCCTTCGCTTTAAGTCTGTATTTATTTGGTTTCAAAATAAAATTTGTAATTCGCTTAAGCACTAAGGTGTCTTGATTGAAAAAAATATTTGCCCGAGATAAAAGCAGACAAAGGTATTCCGGGTGTCTCAGCTCTACAGTAGTAACCAGCGAGTTAGGCAATGCGATAAATTATTTAATTATATATAATTATATAAGGAGCACTCTCGTAATTTTGAAAGGAGTCAATTATTATATTACATGTAATATAATAATTGACTCCAAATTACGAGAGTGAAGTAAACGTGTTGTATCAACTTTTTTTTATAGAAAATTTGAGATGAAAAATGTTGAATGCCATACCTCCCGTCACGGAACGTTTTGTGTGCCAAATGTGTTTCGGATATAGGTGAAGTCCGAGCTTCCTGTATCTAAATAGAGCAAGGTTAATCGCAATCTACCTGTAGGTATGCAACGTATTTTACGATGAAAATCTGAATGGAATCGAGCAAATCACTCTGCATTAGGAACAGACATGCCTACAATTTGTCGGAGGTCGAGGCAAACAAGGTACCTAATGTTTCTTTGTGCTAAATGTGCATATTACGCGTATTGAGTATGATTAATTGTATGTATGTAGAAATTTTTCGAAAACCAAAATAGGCAAAGAAACTAAATCAAATTATTTGACTTCTATATCCTTTGCACAAAATTATAAAATATACGAGATGTATAACGTATGTAAATAGCTTATTAAGGAAAGAAATTCTTGTCGTAAATACATTTGACTATTTATCGTGAAATATTACGATGAGAAATAATTTTACACATATAATCGATATTTTTTTTAAATTTAACATCTGAACTTAAACAGAGAAATCTCTAGTCTGCACGAATCCCTGTTACTCTTGTAATTTCAACCTAATTACAAGTACATTTATCCGAAAAGATTTTAATTTTCTAACTTTGCAAATTTTTTGTCGATCAGGTAAATCCCTTGCGTTCTTGTCAAACGAATGTAATAACAGATGAAAACTAAAGAGAGTTCATAGACTATCACGTTACGACGGACTTCGTCCGAGCCTAAGTTAGATATGAATAATTTGCTGTCAATTTAAATATTTTATGCTTATTACTCTATATATATACGCAGAAGAATCGCATCCGAGTAAGGCTACAATAATTTGAAATGCGCCATTGCCGCTCGATGTCACGGGCTTATAGCCGAGGCGCGGCTACAGAAATAGCCCGTGACTCAATATTTAGGCAGCGTCGATTTGCTGCAGCACGGCTTTCGTCACGGAGCCGTCCCTTACGGTGGTACAGTGGCTACGGTGGTACCAGTAACAGGAAATTTGCCATCGGCATTACAGCTACGCTGCGGCCGATTGAACGCTAAAGACATACATTTGAGTTAGAGCCGGTTAAATTAAATCGACAAGAAAAATTCATGCCACGTATACGTATTTTTCGAGAAATTGACGACGCAATTTTCTGCACGCACGTGAACTTTGAAGTTTAATGGCATTTACGAGAACTTCTTTCTAAAATCAGGAAACGAAGGAAAAACAATTCCTCGTATGAGCAATTTATTTCTATTTATTAAATGCTCAACGAATAATTAAATAACAATTATCACTATTTTTGCAATCAACAAAGTAGTATATACGTATATAACGGTAGATGTAATAATTATTGAGATAATTTTCCAAATAAAATTGTTCTCGATAAGAGTTCCAAAAAATTGTTTTTCGAATAAAAACTGTGTCGGTACCGGGACAAATGACGATAATTTGTATAAATAAATGAATCAAACTGATTTTTCTACTTGTATGTGCCTCGAAAATTCTTGTGGATATCGTCAAAATGAAATAGGACTTTTGCATCATTAATGCGACGTCATCAGATGAAGGCGAGTTAGATTTGAGTAAAAATTTATTGAAGTCTTCAAGTGTACGTTACAACACAAGTTTGTGACAATGTGCGATGATGCGCGTCTATAAATGTACTGTTGATATTGTTCGTTATTTTACACAAATCCAGTCGCGATAAATGTATGTACGATTGCGCATAAGATTATGGTGCATGATCTCTACATTTATATACATTTAACGTACGCAATATACACATGAATTATCATGAATATATACATTACGCAAGATATGTAATAACATACCTTACATATACATATATGTAAGATTTTAATGTACATACATTATATAATATATGCAACATGTACTTGGTTTTCATAATTGCCCCCTACATCACATCCGAACCGCGGATGAACCTTCGGATTCCTCTAACAAATTCAGCCCATGTCAGCGAATGTAAAGTAAACGTAATCATTCGAATCTCTAACTTTGTACTCTGCTTCTTTCGTTTCTATAACTTAAAAGTTATTTGGTATTACAATGGTATTAAAAATAAAATGATAGTTTTATTTTTACATGTATAATGTACATTCGTTCATATCCCCTGGTAATCGTATGGTCGAGTTGTACTTCGAAAAGTGTGTCAACAGCGAACACATTTTTTATCCTAAACGCGTTTACGATCGTGTTCGATGACGTACGCGAGTCCTTAATGCAGTAGTAAGTAACCGGTTAAATGCCTTGAATTACGATAGACAAAAGAATTTGGGCGGTATGGTATATTGTGATGTGCATAGATGAAGTCAACGAAGAAGATTGTCCTTTAAAAGTTAACGCGTTCTATGTACATGTAGATCGGCGCGAATGTAACAAGGAAGTACAGTCTTTCACACGCGAAGATGACATTCTATTGTACATCTCCGAAAGTACATTTCCTATCCCCATTGCGAGCACTCGTTGGCAAGGATTTTTTCATATAAAACCGACTCTTATGTTAATTCTTAGATTACATCTTATTGAATATTGCGTTTGTTCTGCACACAAAGAGCTTCGTCCGATCCGGTCGGATATCGTCACTGCGGTGACGGTGATCCGTTCATGCATTGTCATCAGCCTCTTCGCGGCGGAATGATAGGTCTCACGCCACTTTCATGTATATGGTGCGCTCTCGCATCTTGCAGTGCTTAAGTTCCTTGAGCGCTCGCTGTGCCTCGCTGGGCGACGAGAAGGCCACGCGCGCATCCCCCGTCGGCATGCCCCTCTCGTTGTAGCGGCGAATCACGTTTTCCCGTTTCACGTCAAAATCACCGAAGAAGTCGATAATCTCGTTGATGTCCGCCTTGAACGGCACGTTCTCGAGCGATAAGACGCAGCCGGGCTTACCGAAACCCTCGACGTAGTCCATGGACGGTGGATGGCGGTTCATCATGTGACGCGGCATTCCCATTAGGCCGCCGGGCGGGCAACGGGGCCCGAAGCCGGTGTTGCCGAAGCGCAGCATATGGCCCATCGGGCCGGAGAAGCGCGGCGGTCTCTGGTGCTGTTCCTGCATCGGGAAGTGTTGCTGCTGCGTTTGCTGTTGCGCCTCCATCATGCCGAGGGTCTCGAGCATCTTGACGCGCGGCACCAACTCGATAGTGGGTATATTTTTGCCAAGTGGCAAACCGTTCTTAGCGATCGCGCGTTCCGCCTTGTCGGCCGATTCAAACTCGCAGAAGCATTCGCCGGCCGGTTTGCCCTGCTGATTGAGCATCATGTGAATGCAGAGCGGCACGATGCCGATGTCCGAGAAGAAGTCGAAGATGTCGCGGTCGATCGTTTGGAACGGCAAGCCACGCATGAGAATACAATCCGTCTGATTCATGCTCGTTTGCTCGTGCTCGCGCTTCGCCTGCGCGAACTTATCCTCGCTGATCGCCGTCGCGGTCACTTGCTTGCTACCGATCTTGAGAGGTGTGCTCAACGACGACTTGGCGTCCTCCAGTCGCGCGAATTGCACGTAAGCCATATACTGAGTGGTACCGTTCTCCTTGCTATTGGTAATGAAGAGATCGTTGATCTTCCAGTCGTGAAACAATTTGGCTATGTCCATCTCCTTGGTGAAGGACGGCAAATCGGTCAGCAGGATGCACATAGAGTTCCTGATGTCGCCGTCGGTGCCATCCTCCCTGCCTTCGGGCGAGTAAGAATTCACAGCTTTTTCGAAGATACTCTCGTCCAAATCGAGCACCTCTACCTCGGAACCTCGCACGTATCTCGTTGTGCTCAGCGCGAGTTCCTTACCGTCGGCCTTGCCGAACTTGATATACGCGATGCCTACGCGATTACCGTGGTTATCGTTGATTATCTTCATGCCGTCCTTCCTGATGTAGATGCCATGGAACGCGTGGCGTAGATCCGCGTATGTCGCGTTCAACGGCATGTTGCGCACTTCCACGCAATGACCTCCACCACCACCGCTGCCGTTCTTATTCTCGTTGGAGAATCTCGAGTTGCCGGACTTTCTGCCGGACGTTGGCCGATCGTTGTCGTAGCTGCTGAAGTTGGAGCTGCCAGCCTGGAACGCGTGTGGATTACGACGGCCCTCGAGCTCTTGCACCTTGTTCAGGAAGGGATTGTTCGGCCTGGTGCCGCGGTAATTGCCCGCGGACCCGTAATCCTGATTACTGAATTGATTCGATCGGCCGGAGAATCGCCCAGTCTGCTCTATTCTTCCCTGCTCGCTTTGACCCCAGGGTTCCTTGGGACGAGTTCCGAGACCGCTCAAACTAGGTAGACCGGCGGCGGTGTTGAGATTCTGCGACAACGACGTCATGCCCACCGTGTGCCCGATTGTCTGCATGTGCGGTTGCATGAGATTGCCGACGCCATTAAGACCGTTTAGGGAGAACTGTCCGGATTGCAGCATCGGTTGCTGGGCCATAACAGGGGTGCCAAAGCCGGCCATGGCTGAACGCTGAGTCTCCGAGTCCTGGGACAGAGCTGCGACGCCGGCCCCCAACATGCTCGGCGCCAACAGAGCGGCCTGCATCTGCGTCTGCGGCGGAACCTCCCATATGCCGTTCTCAAGCGGTTTCTTCGACGTAGCCGCAGACGCCTTGTCCTTGTGAAACTGACCGACGCACACGACCTCGCTGTTGTCATCCTCGTTAGTATCCTTGCGCCTGTCGTTCGTGGCGTTCCGCTTGGAATCGCGATCGCGCGATCTGGTGCGATCGCGCGACCTGGACCGGTCCCGGCGACGACGCCGATCTCGCCTATCGCGTTCACGGTCTCGCGATCGACTGCGATCCCGTCGGCGCCGGTCTCTCCCGCGATCCCGATCGCGGCGATCTCGGTCACGATCGCGGTCGCGCGACCGCGAACGGTCCCGCGATCTCGATCGATCGCGCCTATCCTTCCGCTCCTTGCTGGACTCGCTGTCGTTATCCTTGTCTCTCTTATCTGTCGGCGAACCGGGCTGCTTGCCAGGAACCACAGGCGGTACCGCCACCGGCGCGGTTTGCATGATGCATTGCAAGCTCAAAGTCTGCTGCCGAGCGGCCTCGATTACCTTTTGCATCTCGGTGCGTGAGCTCAATAGCAACTTGATCTTCATCTCCTTGATCTTGCCGCCATCGTGCATCATTGCTTGGCGAGCATCTTCGTCGGTACTGCAATAGCGAAACGATATATCTGCGAGATTTGTCCGATATCGCCATTTCTTTCATCGATTCGCTAGGAATCGTAGCTATTTTTTCTTTTGTAAGAAAACAATTCTAGTGTCTTAATTTTTCCTTCTACTATATTAGAATTGTACACAAAAAGAAATTATTAACCTGTCTCACATTGAGCAGATATTGTGTTACACGTGGACATTATTTTTTGTCAATTTTTAGCACGCGACAAGAACGCTCGAAAATAAGAAAGATAATTATTATTAATGTGACTAATAAAAAAAACTGATAAGAGATTTATTTTCTACTTTATATATTTACATCGGCAACTTGTTTTCAATTACGTAATAATAATCCACCCTGACTAAATTTACACAATACAATTATGTAACAAAACTCACTATCTTCTATTAGAAATAATTAATAAATTGTTAATATGAAAAACAAATAACGAATAGCTATACATGTGAATGATATAAAATAATATATCACATATGTAAAATTCCATTCGAAAAATTTACGACTGTAGATTTGTGATTTTATGTACCTATGCTCCAGAAAAAGCAATTTAATAATCGCATAAAGTGCCTAAGGTGTTACGTTCAGATATGCGTACACTGAGAGCTGAAAAACAGTGATGGTTATAACATTTTTCCTCGTTTTTAACTTTTAGTCTTTCTTACAGTAACCATTACGTACCACTACAGTAAGCATTCTCCCAGTAATCAGTACGGATTTTACAATAACTATTACGGATTCTACAGTAATGAATATTGTAGATCAACTGATTGAATGTTACTTACTAATCCAGTATTGAATCAGTACTGTATTTCCACAATCATTACGATAAAAACCAGTAATGGTTTTGGTACAAGATTTTATTGAAAATAAAAAAAACTTTTCCACTAGTTCTTTTTTCTAATTTTTTTATATGTGGGATTCGAACCTAAGATTTCCGATTACTAGCCTAGTACGCTAACGCTGAGCTAACTATTTATATATGTTTTCTGCCCTACTGTTAGGCTACATAAGTATTATTTACATATTATTTTAATGCTGGTGGTCAACAGTAATGGTTACGGAATTGCACATCACTCATTTGCGTATTAAGATTAAAAGTTGAAAATGAGCAAAAATTCAGGACTATTACTGTTTTTCGATTCTCAGTGTACATACGTTGTTGAGTAAACAACGCAGAGAAATAAGACGCAAATATATTCATTATGCTGACACATTCAATTTTTTTCTCAGAGCAACGGGAATTCATGTAGCAGTAATTACCTGAATGCGATAAACGCATCTCCCAATTCGCCGCCGACAATATGGACTCCTCCCTCCGGGATGCTCAGGCCTCTGAAAAATTGACGTATGTCCAACGCATTGGCGGACCACGCCAGATTTTGCAGCCTGATTATGACGCTCATTTTCGAAAAGTTGTTTCACGCTTGTATCTGCAACCGAACCGAGAGGTGACGAAATTAAGCGACGGAGAGAAGAGACATCTTCGGCAGATCTGTGTCGCGATCGCCAAGTCGTTTAGCGAATCGATTCATTGTTGAGACGTTTGGCAAACATTTGCGTTTATATAAAAAAAAGAGGAAAATGTATTCTTTTCAGAAGTATGTCTTTATTTATTTTCACACCGCATTACAACATCCCTGCCCCCTCCTTTGCATAGCGTTTAATAAAGTTAACGTATTAATAGAGTTATTTGTTACACGAGATTGTTATTTACATGCTTTACATATTAGTGATATCGTTTATTTTAATTTTTTATTATTATATGCAATTATTTAATGTTAGTAATTCTAATACAAAAATGCCAAGAATATAATAGTTTTCAAATTGGAAATATTTATAGAGCTCACGAATGACAGGGCTAGGAATTTCGCGTTTTCTGGCATGACAAAATGAGTGATATAGGTGTGCTTTCATGAGCTGACAATGAGTGCCTTTGACAATCCCAAGTTGGAATGTAAACATGTCATTTATCGACCAATCTTTTGTCACCTCTGAGTGCGCAAAATTCTAGCTCTGTCACTCGCGATCTTGAAATACTTCCCATTTGGAAGCTGTTATAGCCCGGACATTTTGTCATTAAAATATTTATCGCCAGTTTAGAGACACTGCATATACTCATTACGATAGATTTTTAAAAATTCTTTTTACTACTCGGTCGCCTTTCGTTTCTCTCGTTTTTACATCTGCCTCGGGTACGTTTGCGGAACGCGCTATTAGCGCTGAAAATCTGTCGTCTATCTTTCTTCGACGCATAATGGGCAACGAAGATAGAATGACGCTTTCAGCGCTAAATAGCGCTGACAGTGAGCTCCCCGAGCGCATCCCTCGTTCAACGAGATTGATTGTTTTCTTTCTCTCTGAGAACGGTGCTTTTACTTTGTTTTTACTCCCATTAGATATTTCGAATGAAAACTACGAAAACTGGTTACTTTTCTAACAGATTAAAATTCACGAACAATGAACATAAATTATTCCAGTTCAAATGTTGCTGTCTGAGCACGCTGTCCAACTATTTATCTTATTTCTTACTAATCATTGTTTTGATAAGTTAAGCTGAGAATAATCAAAAGAATAAACAACTAATAAGTTTCAATTTAGTCGATATGCTTAGATTTGTGATCTGGACGCTCATTTAGACAAGTGCACAGTGATAATACATGATTTTTGTTTCACTCGATTTATTTTTTATTCGAAACTATTCGTATTATTTGATCGTTAGGTAATTGTAATTATATTAAAGAAATTAAGGTATGTAAAATATATTTATCTTTTTCCTCGTACTATTTTTATCTAGAATGGACACTTAGATCCCGTAAGGAATCAATTCTCGTCACATTTGTAACAGCTTGTATATTTTCATGTTTACGCGCAATTTATTGTTGTTACTTCAAGGTAGCGAGTAAACTTTCTCTCCACAGTGGAGCGATTGAAGCGAATGTGATTGTACGAATGGGATAGCGTATGACGAAGCGCCTTCTTAATTGAGTAACATATATGTCGATGATTTTTGGTATTCAAGCTACTCGTAGCTTTTTCTCTTGCACAAAGGGAAGCGATATATTATTGCAAACACTCTATCGCAATCTTTTTATTTGTTATTTATATTTAACGATGTGTGCTGAATTGCAAAAGGCCACGCAAGAATGCGCGATCGAGTATGTGCATACAAAGTGTTCGTCTGGTATTTCCACGAAAAAGGTGCGTTTTAAACATTTTTATTGTATGTGAAATATACGTTTAAATTACTTATTGTAATTATTACAAAATGTTGATTTTACAATCTCGATGAAAAATCGTCTAAATTAATTTACGTTTATCTCGAAAGGGGAAACTCTCTCGAAAAAGGCGATTGTCAAAGTGAATCTTATATTCTAAATGTAATCGAGCGATAATTATAACAATTCATTATAGGACACATTAATAATTAATTAATTAACAATTATTAACATTTAAAAATTATTAACAAATAAAATAAAAACAAATATCCGTCTCATCGTAAAATAAAAATTATATTAAAATAAAATAACAAAGCGACAGTTAATGCACAAAAAGTATTATTCGAAAGTTTTGTATAGCGTTTTTATCTTCGCATCTACAGCTTCGAGTGTTCATTTTTTTTTTGAAAAATAAAACATCTAAAAACTCACGTATACCCGACACACGTGTACCCGAGATGGCTTTATTATTACAGCGAATTCCACTGGCACCAAAGTTTTGGCAGAGGAGCGTTCCAAGACATACAGACCACCCACGCATGTTACGGTCGTACATCAACAATCCAATCATTGTGTTTGGTTTCTCCCTTTTTTTTACCAATAGTAAATTCTTTTACACAAATTCTTAGACACCCTCGAAAAAAGCTTCAAACATATCTCTGGCAAAATGGACTGCAAACTTGCAGTATACAAAGTTTCACATCCAGTAAATGTAAGATACACACACACATTCGTCGAGAACAAGATTACTTTACAAGTATCTTGTGTCATGTGTCCACTTTTATTTATGGCTTACTTTTCGAGCTCTTTAAGTGAAAAATTATTTGGATGAATTAAAAAAGAAAATAACAATTTTTATATGCAAGTATGTAAGGTGGGTTTCGGAGTAAAACTTTGAATCCAAGTGCTTTAAATGGTGGAGTATAGAAGCGGGAAAGTAAATAATAAAATATATCGATCGTTTTGCGATGTCGATGTGTTGTAAATTAATTTGAATTAAATGCGGAGAAATAACTTGCGTTCATTATAAATATATTATTATTATGTATATCATTACTAGTCTTTTAAGCAGTGGAGTGAGCACGAGTCAGAAGTGCGGAGAAAGTAGTGCGCGCTTGTGAGTAAACGCAAGTACTAACTTTTCGGCAAAATACAGTTCGATCTTTAAATTAAAGATTGAACGAGGAAAAGTTTCTTTTTACTCATAATAATAACACTTATTCACAATTAACAATTGAGTCTTTAAATATTCGAACTAGCGGATTAATTGAGAAGGAAACAAACTTGTCATTTACAGACAGTATAATAGGGAAGGGGGGGGGGAGAGAGTAACGATTCATTGAGTATTTTCCAGTTTTACTCTGCGCATATTATTCAGAGGTCGTCGCATTTTGGGCATGTAATTATGGCAGTCGCCGTAACTGGTAATTTTCACGCCACGCAGGTAGCGATCGGCAGACTCTTGACTCCCTGATGACCAGATTTGCAATCGACATGTTACTCGTTCCATCGTTGCAAGGCTGTGATTATTAGCCACGACTCAATCATTAAAAAAACCAATGTTCTAAGATGAACGGATTCATTACAATAAAAACTGGAACTGCGACAAAATGACAAATATATTTTCACGTTAGAATAAATTTAAAACGAACAACCAAAATCGTCATCACAAAATTCGAAACGCTGTATAACTCATCCACAAGAGCTTTTACGGCTGGTCCACGCATAGAGATTTTTTTTTCCGGAATAAATTCGGAATCGCAGAGAAAGAGGTGGTCGAGAATCTTTTTGGATTAAATGACCGGCAAATCATTTTCCTGTTGCTTTAAGGCACACGAAGTGCCAGACACGTGTCTGTTTCTTCGACGAGCATGACGACGCCGTTCCATCTCTTCGGCTTCCACACATCTGCCACGAACTGCTGAGTCCTTTCGTCGAGATCGAGAAAAAAAGAAATCAACGATTGTGCTGTGCTTGATCGAAGCGCTCTAAGTAAATCCTTCGCGGATTAAACGAATCGATCACATCGAATATGTAACACTAGTTCCGCATTAACGCTTATCCCATTATCGATAGCGGCATCTTCCTCAGGACGAGGAGAAACATTATTAGCACACTTCGCATAGTATACTCCAAAAATCATTCGATTCCCACCAGAGCTTTGAGGAGTATTTCGAAGTAATTAGAAGTGCTTGCGACGAAAATGAAAAGCCAACTCAGCGTAGCGCCATCGAGTGTTTTAATAAGATTACGTGGAATAGATCAACACACGGAGGAGATGGATGTATCACGTATAATCTGATTGCGATATCACTTAATAGCATATTTCTTAGGTATATTTTAATTAAACACTGTAGCAGGAAGCTAGCAAAGAGCGTTGCAAGGGTAGAATTCGAATACATGTATTCGAAATTACAGGCAATATTGATGCAATGTGCAGGTAAATAGTAGATTTGCATTAACGTTGTATCCAAATTCTTATCTATATGCTAAAAACGATGTCTATCTAATTATTACGTCTTGTCACAATATCCTTTAGGCAAATGTCGACCAAATAAAGCAACGGAAACAATAGTGCAATAAGAATAACAAAATTTGAACATTATTTTTCGATAAACTTGACACGTACTGATGAATAATTGTGTCGTACTTAGCACGTCTTTTTTTATCACTTAATGTTGAAAAGTAGCATTGCGATATTTAGTAATACAATCTAAAAAGAATAATATTTAATAATGTACACACGGTAAGTAATTGAAGTATTTTGTACCGATACAGAATTACGCAAAATTTGACTGTCTTATTTGTTGTCAACACTTGAATAGTGTTACAACTATAGTGAAGTAGCTTAATTGCTATATAGGGCTTTAGAAAGATTTGTATGCTTTTTAATTTTGCTTCGACACATGCCGAAGCATTAAAAAGCGTACTTGCAATATCTCGCACATTTAGAATTATTATATCGAGAAATATTGCCAAATGTAACAAAAGTTTTCAAAACTGCGAAGGAAACTCGAGGATGGGGGGTCGTTTGTGGATGCAAGTTGTCGCGACTTCCGTCCAGCTTGAACACCATGAAAATTACGCAAGTCAAACTTCGAATCTTATATCAGCCAGCTAGGTGTAATAGTGACGACTGTATTCGCCAGCCTTTTGTTCAAACAATCCAAATCTGCAGCCGCATCGATATATAATTGGTTTGGCACGACCGTGACATAGTATACCCGTGTCTCTGTCTCTCTTTCACCAGCGAGCACTCCTGGTCAATTAATATAAAGGTGCCTCTAGATTTCCTCCCGCCGAACACACCAGATAGATACATTGTTTTTCCCTCATGTAGTCAGATTCCGTTTATTATTGTACAACAAAGGAAAAATATTGAATGACTCCGTCGGCATTAGTCACAAAAAAAAGAAAAGCTAAAAGAAATTTCGGTTTGACGATGTATGTACGTGCATATGGCGTGCGTATGAAACAAGAATCGAGAAAATTGGTCTACGTCGTACACCTGAAATGCATCATGCGCAATTCGATTCCAAAGTGTTCGCAACGATGGAAGCAAGTCGATAAATCATGGCTGCATCAACATACTTCAGTCATCCGTTGCTGCTTTCTTCCTGCGTTATGTATATGTCGCAATTGATCTACACGAAGATCATGTAAAGGTAAAAGCCGTTATTTGCGATCATTGTATCAGATATCAAATATTGTTGATCTCGTTGAAGATTCCGATTCGATGGAACAGAGAGAAAGGAAACTGTTCTGCTACACAAATCGACTTTTTATTTCTCCGTATATAACACGTATATTGGTCGCACTGGAGAAAACAGCGATGATAGTAGTAATTATCTAGATAATTGATAATTATCGGGTAATTTTTTTGATTGGTTTTTTTTCTAATGATGATTTCACTCGATGAGTATGTGTCATCGTGAAATATCATAGAGATAAGCATGTAGCACGAAAATTGCTGTATGTATGCGTGTCCGCAAGACTAACACAATTTGTGATGGAATTGTAAATAAAATTTTTTTGATCATTTCATTAAATTACGAACAAATATTAGTGAATCTTTTTATTCTTCAAAGTTTCGTATGTTTATTGTCTTCTTTTTACGCTTAAGTTTTAATTTCATATTTGTTATGTAAGTTTTAACGTCTCTATGTCTCGATGCGATACGAGTGAGGTTGCATGGAGAATGATCGGTTCAATGGAAGCAACACGTTCTAGCGTACTGTGCAGTTAAATGTAAGCCAGAATAATGATCTTCAGCTCTCATAAACCGTGTAGTAAAATTGTATTTTACGGAGGGGAGACTAGGGAAGAATTAAGTCTGATGAATATTTCGTTCAACAGTTTTAATTTTAACATTTTTAGTTGAAGAGTTTAGTTTTTATCCTTTATTTAAATTTCAAGATTTTTATGTTGAAAAATATCGTAATAATATACCTTTAATAAAAGTTTAATTAATTTTTTTTACCCGGAAGTTGATAAAAAGATATTAATTTTTTATCATACTGATTTAATATCAATTTAAAATTCTATTAAATGTTTTTAAAATGTTATGATTTTATAATTCGAAAATATCATCAAGATCTTCGACATCCGCGATGTCGTAATAACAAATATATGTTACAATAAAAATTTTTCTTTTTGCTTCTCTCAAAAAGCATAAATAATAAAATTTAACACCTGTTGCTCTAATCAAATCGAAACTTACCTTTCTTTCATTAAGAAAAATTATGTAATATTTTTTCCAAAGTTGTGTGTATATATAAATGTGTATGTATATATATACACACACAACTTTACACATACACAATTTTATATTCCGCGAAATAAAGAACTGAGTAAAAAAATGGCCGAATCTTTAATCGTTAAAAGTACTTTAACAGAGACTAAAAAATATTAGATTAACAATAAAATATTGCAAAAAACATCTATTGTTTAAAAATTAATCTCAAACTGAAATGAAGAAAAGGGCAGTTTTGAGAATTTTTTAAATTTTTCCCAGAAGAAATAAAGTTATAGAATTTCATCGTTATTCTTTGCAAGAGATCAACTCGTGGTGATTTAATTTCTAGTGCAAAAGTTATTCTGTACTATATAACTTATTATTAAATTGATATTTAATATGTCAAAGTTGGAGATGAAATCCATGTGATTTATATATTTCACGGAGGACGTACAAAGACATTGTGTAAATGTAAATGTAGATAATGTCATCCATTTCGTTTATGTTTATGATGTTTTTTTAAAATCTCTTTATTATTTTTGCAAATTGTCGGTTATTATAAATTACTTACCCTTGTACTTAAGATTCAAAGAGTATGTGGCCAAAGTAAAATTATAACATACATAGAGAAAGAGATATACACATATATATATAAATAGACGGTCACAGAGCTCTTGGAATTATTCTAGATAATTAAATCCGCCTATGTGTAGTAAAATCACAACACTTTCCTCCAAAATTATAAACTAAATTTATTATGTAATTTAGCATTACCTTTCAGACTTTAGAAACTTCTTTCTTCTTTACACTGTCTCTCCCTCTTTCTTTCTCTCTTTCTCAGCTAAAACGACGAAAGATAAGAGTTGATTGAGAACAAAGATGACCGAGCAGCAAACCACTCATCAGCGAAGAACAATGAAATGCAGAAGCAGAAAAGTTAACTGCACCATATCATTGTGCAAAATCCATCGTGGAGGCCAAATCTGTCCTTGGCACCTAACACACACCGAGTCGTCTAAAGCCCTGCAACATACATCAGGTCCCCCCCACTGTACCTAAACAATTTTACAATAATTATACATCGCATCTGCGCCCAACTCCTTATTATTGGCCGTTATCATCTTTAACTTATTCCCTTCAAACATTATTTGCCAAAATGCCTTCATTTTCAATATTACAGATATTGTAATCGTTACACATATATCTATATATGTCGCACTGTACTCGACGAATGCTTATGTTACGTTAAAGCCACAGATAATTCTAAAGTGGAAACACTGTGCAATAGTAAGTTTGTATGTTTGAAGAGAGAAAATTCAACGACATATATTAAGTCCACGTAACATGAAATGTAATAAGAGAGAGAGAGGGCGGGGGGAGAGAGAGAGAGAGAGAAAAATGACTTGTCTCGCTGCCACAAATATTTGTTTCTCTTCGAATTACGCTCTTATTTCCATCTTTGACTCCATTTTCTTTATAAAAAATCTAAAGCACTTTTATCTGAATTAAATTCTTACATTTTCAGTAACACTTATAAAAGTTGTTGGAGTTATCACGTTTAAACGTAGGCTTAATTTTTTTTTCTCGCCCACTTGGTAAGAATGATTCGAAGTTGTTAGTAGCAACTAAAGTTTACAAGTATTACCCCGTAATTGGATCTGCTACTACTACGCTCTCGCTTGGATAAAGACATAAAACGTTTCGCGTTAGTTGCTATTGACGGATCTGCATCCCGTGCCATGTAAAGCGTTTCTCGGCAAAAGAGCAAGCTGTAGGGGGAAAGAATGATTGTTCGCCGTCGAGCACGTGGCGCGGCTAAAAAAAAACTTACGAAGAAGAGACAAGCTTGGAGATACGCATAATAAATAGGATGATACGTTTCCCGAGTGCATCATCCAGTTTGTCATTGTCGGCGTTGGGAAATAGAGAGAGGATGAGATATGTATATATATCGTAGAATGAGATATCGGCATGACGAGTCACGCCAGAATGTTGGACTCACCGAATCGCTACACAGAAGCGGAGTGTTTCATGAAGAAGAACGCTGATTATAAACGACGATAACAATAACAATTTGTGAACGCGGCGAACGCAATGGAGTTTGTACCTCGACGAATTCGGAGCGTGGAAGAGCGTCGAGAAGCGTCGAAATGGCTGCCGTTGCCGTGTAGTCGGCCGAGTGAACCCCGTAGATCGTCGATTGTGGAAATCCACTAGACGCGTCGTGGACTCGCGGCCGCGCGTGCGCCGCGCAGCGGAAGTTGGTGCGCTAAAGGCCTTCACACATAAAATTCCGTAAGGACGTAAAACGTAAGCATAAGAAAATCGACCAATCACAGTCGAGAACGTAAGGCAATGACGCAAGCAGTAGCAAATCCAACCTGTTGATTTTCTTACGCTTACGTTTTACGTCC